CTTTGTATTACAGAAAATTCCTTCAAATCTTCAAATGTTATTAAATGGTAAGTGTCTAATTTGAGAGACTAAGTCAATCTATTACAGAATCATTGTATATGTATAAAAATAGTTAACAAAATCTTCATTTTCCTCTAAAATAAAGCATTAGAAAATTGTAAAGATGATTCTAGTATCTTGTGTACTCTCTATTCAGGTCCTTTTTTTCCCCACCATAATGGCTTTGCATTTAATATAGCATTTCTCACCACGGGTATATTAATCAATAGAAAGGTTTTAAAAATTTTAAACAATAAATCTTTTCTCTATTTCAATATAGTCTTTTAACATTATTTCCCCCCTCCATTTTAATATTAGATACATTGTATAAATTTTCTAAACTTTTTCTTTCAAAGAAATGAAGGTTTTGATATTTGACGAAATTTCACCTGGTGCTCTGTTGGCACTCTGATGGCTGAGTGGTTAACTCAACAGCCTTGACTCCTGTGGTGTGACTCCACCAGCCACTCCCTGGGGAAAAGACAGGCCATCTCCTCCGGGTGGGATTTACAGCCCTGGGAAACTGGAGAGCAGCTACCAGGAATCGGAACCACCTCAATGGCAGTGAGTTTCATATAGAAGTACAATAGGAATTAGAGAACAAAACACAAACCCAATAAAAAGCTGGAGAAGAGAGTCCTCTATGAGCCAAGAGGCAGGAGTTCTAACTAAACAATGGCGATTTCCTAGACTTCTGGACAACAGGCCCCTTCTTCCCCATCTCATAAGCCATAGTCATTTCTTGTCCCTCCTGGCTAATCAGCAAATACTAACTGCAGCCTGTATTTCTGATGTGAAGAAAACATCATTCCCCATGGAACATACATTAATCTGTTCCCAGGTAGAGGCAAACATTTAAGAAGTAAAACAACCCTATTTACTGTTTTCTTAGAAACAAACAGATATCAGAGAACAGCTTTAACTTCCACTGGGAGTGACAGGGTTTGCGGGGTGAGGCATGACTCAGGAGACCCTTCAAAGTCACATCTGTCCACTTGTCTTTCGTGCATACACTCCTAAGCAAGCACAGATGCCTGTGATGCTGAGAACCACATCTAACAAGAGAGCAATGGCATCTTCTGCTTCAACTGCTTCTACTACAGGCAGCACTGCAAGAAGAGACACGAGGACCAGCAGCAGCTGTGATGCAATGGAAGCCATGATGCTGGGATCTTGAGGGCTGATAAGTCCAAAGAAATGGGGTGTATACACAATCCTGATCTAAAGGACTCTGATCGCAGAGTTCCAGATGCTGAGGCTAAGAGGTCCCACATGACACCTCCTAAGAAGCAGACATTACAGGAATGGGGAGGAGGGCCTATTCAGGTCCTTTTAAAAATAACAAAAGAGTGTGATCTTTGAAACTATCAATTCTACTGTTAGTAAGTAGAGTGATATCTAGGAGGTGAGATTTTTGGTATTAAATTTCTATTTTTTAAAGCCACCCAGTTTATAGTATTTTGTTAAGACATTACTATGTAACAAGGACAAGGAATGCTTGGGATAACGGTGGAGGGGAAACTCAGACAGACTACTGATAAGTAAAGACAAAGAGAAAGCAGTAGAGGCTGAGACAGGAGAGCAGAGGATGTTTCTAGAGCCTCCAGTGCAGCCTCTCCATCCAGCTTCCCCTGGAGTTCATCCTGACTGATAACTCCTTCTCTCTAATCTTGTCTTCACTACAAGACTGAGTATGTTTATTCCTTTCCATCCTCCATAACTGAAGTGGGACTTAGGTGGTGGTGGTGGTGGGGGAAGAGCCTTGAACAGAGAGAGCATGGTATTTAAGTACATCAGCTTCAGACACAGAATTTCCAGGTTTAAACCTTGTTTCTGTTGCTGTTCGTATGACCTAGGACTTAGCCCCTTAGATCTGAATTTCTTGGTTTAGAAAAAGCAACAATACCGGTGAAACAAATATTGGAAGATATTTATGCACTCAATAAATGGTTGTTGGTATCATTAAGTCAATAACTATTTATTTGGGAATTCTGTGCCAGACATGGTGCTTGCAACTTGGAGAGGCATAGGGGCTTGCCTTTTCTGATCTGACACATGAAACAGACAAGAGTCAGCATGATGAATATTCAGTTGCAGGTAGTCAGGTCCCTGTGGGGATACAGAGGAATGACAGCGCATTTAGCCCTGGGGAGGTGTGGCAAGACTTCCCCAAGGAAGTGGTAGAGAACTGAAGTATGAGGTAATATTCCAGCAGGAAAAACCCAATTAAGTGCTGGACATAGAAAGCTGTTCAGCAGAGCAAATCCAAACAGAACTGCCTTTGGAGAGTTGCAAAAGGTGAGGCTGCTGGGAGATGGGTACTAATGGTACATATAACAGCCAGGCCTGATATTAACCACTGTGTATACCTTTACAGTCTATCGAAACATTGCTTCATTTCAATTTCACTTAAACTCCATCCTTCTCCCAAATCTCACAGCAGCTCTGCAGTCTTCCTTCTCTTGGTGAGAGACAGTTCCCCTGGAGTTTGTCTGCTCTCACTGCAATGAGCCAATATAAACTCAATTGTTGGGCTACAGGCTTATCCCTAGTGGCTTTAAGATAATTGGTTTAGCACAGAAGTAAGCAGATATCCAAGGCAGTGCTTCCCTAAGGGAAAATACAACACTGGTGTTACCCTCTGGAGATTAAGTGTTGGGCTAGATATAGTTGGAAGGTGATCCTTAAACACTTGGGGATGTAGGAAGGAAATTAATCTCAAGGAAGAACGCTCGTACCTGCCAAAGCTGGCAAAGAGCGCTTTTCCAAAGGAAAGTATCCTCAGTGCAGATTCCCAAGATTACCACAAATTAACCAGCCAATTACGAACTCGCAGTAGATGATTACACATTCAAGAAAAGTAACCACTAAAGGGCAAACAAGCAGAAGCAAGAGTCTATGGGTTAGGACCCCCAGGGATTTCATCTACTGGAATATAAAATAACAGTGTATTCAATGCTTAAAGAAATTTTCTAAAATAAAAACAAGACATCCTTCATAATGAACACAGCACATTGAAAAAGAAGTAAAAATTGCTGAAATAAATTATAATTATTGAAACACAAACTAAACAGGAAAGTAAAAAACTAGGCCACTACCATGGAACATTCGCACTATCACTATACTGATAATGTATTGTTGTTGTGACCTGTTTTGATGATACCCGGCCACTGCCACTACAGAGCCTAGTGGTAAGAAGCTGTGCTACAACCCCAAAGGCAAGTGGTTTAAATCCTCCAGCTGCTTCATGGGAGAAGGATGGGTAATTCTTTCTCATGAAATTTACAGCCTCTGAAGACCTGCTTGAGGGTCCACTCAAGTGAGTTCTGACTCAATGACACACAGCTACTACAATAAGACCCTAACCTCAACACACCAGACTGACTATGGTTAGAAAGACTGACAATACCACATACCTGTAAGACTGGGAAGCAATGGAGCACTTCAGGCCCAGTAATGTTAATCTTAGGAATTTATGAGAATGATTACAGCATTTATACAAATAATAGTAAGAAAATGGAAGCAGCTCAATTCGTCTTTGATTGACAATTGGATAAGCAAACTATGATATATTCATGCAACAGAATATTGTTCATCCAAAAGAGAATGAACAACTGATACACATAGGAATGTGAATTTGAGAAACATACTAAACATAAAATCTGAATTTGAGAAACATACTAAATGTAAAACCATACTAAATATAAAAACCTCATACAAAAGAGGACCTTGACTTCCCCTGAAAATAATAGATCTAATATACAAACTTAATGAGATTATGCAAAATATTTCTGCCATAGGACACAAACGCATAAACCCCACATGCTGAACATATCCAGAAGTCACTTTTGGATATTCATTTCAGCCCCATTCACTCATCATCTCATATTACAGAGAAATCAGGTTATTCATTTTCTTGTCTTCTTTTTCTTTTCTTTCTTGCTGTGTCTAAAAATAGTCTGAAAATGTTGCTTTTGTTTATAATTTTATAATAAAAATGTAGGTCATGGTCAAATGGTCATGGATTGAATTTTATAGTCCTCTAATAATTGGGAAATAAACAATTGTAACTGAATGTTTGGGTCTATTAATTTAAGCTGATAATTATAGTTAATTAGCTCAACAGTTAAACATAAAACCTTACCACATCATTTTGAGGAAAGCAATAAAACAAACAAGCAAAAAAAAAAAAGCAAACACAACAAACGAAATCACAAAAAACTGAAAGAAAATCATTGCCAATGGGTTCAGACTCATAAAGACCCTCTACTGGGTTTTCTGAGGCTATAAATCTTTACGGGAGGAGACTGCTCATCTTTCTCCCAAAGAGCCAATGATGGATTCCAAAAGCTGACCTTTTGGTTATTAGTCCAACACATTTTGCCACCATTGTTCTCACACTCAAACTTACTGTTACTCATTCAGTTCCAACTCACAGCAACCCCCTGGGACAGAGTGAAACCGCCTTGGTTTCCAAGGCACCTAATCCTCACAGAAGGATGCTGACAGGCCAGCAGTCCAAACCCTTTCTCCTGTGGCACTGCTGGTGAGTTAGAACTGCTGATCCTTCAGTCAGGGCTTTGCTTAGGTTACGCTAGGTCTGCTTCTTTCATCATTTAATTATGTCTTATTCGTGTCAATGTTTTTGATAAGTGATGATAAGTCATCTCAATCACAAGTTTGCCACAAGTCCAAACAAAAACCTGTGCACTGAGAAAATGTCACAGGGTGAGGAATACATCGTGGGAGAGGGAAGGAAAGTGTAGCATGTTATTTGCACAGAGATACAATGTGTGAGTCCATTTCTATTAAATTCTGGAATGGGCAAGACTAATCAATTATGAACAAAACTCCAGGTTTTTCTTTGTTCTCTTCAGCATTCAGAAAAGTATCAGGAACACAGTGAGTGCTCAGAACGTATTTACAGACTGAAAGAATCAAAGAACCACTGTTCAGCTTACCTTCTGATTTTCTTTGCTGCCCCTTGAGAAAGTGAAGAATATCACGTCTGGTGACAGACATGGAAGTGCTTGGTTCCAGGCAAGGTCTTGGCCTCAGGAAGTCCACGTCCACTTCACACAATGTCTTGGAGTTTTGTTCTTTCTCCAGAAGCACAGGTTGCGTGGCCAGAGTCCCTGACGTCAGTTCCACCATCTCGGTGTTGTCTGGGAGAGAAACAGCATGTGCTCCTGGAGACTCTTGATGCGCTGAGGGGATCTGGCTAAAATGGGGGGGGGGGGAATTTGATCAAAACCTCCTCCCCTACTCCAGCTTGATGGCGTTAGAAAGTTCCCAGAACTACGTGTAAACAGCACTGCTGTTGGAATGGCTCTGAGGCTACAAGATCTCTCCACTCCTAGTTGGTCCCCACCCTGAGCTGCCCACTGCTACTCCCCATACGGATGCCTGAGTGGATGAGCCTTAGGTCAACTTGAAGTTTATTTCCTTGGTCAGAGAAATCAGAGGGGCAAAAACAAGACCCCTTTTACTTCACCAAAGGCATTAGCCAGACCAGTGCTTCTGAGATGGATTCTCTGATGGAATTCAGCTTTTCAATGTCTTGGTATTCTAACAATGTATATTTATATTTATAACAAACCTGCATTATTACACAAACAAAACAAGAAGCAAAAAAAAAAGGAAAACGTCAATTTAAAATTATCAGATCAATAAATTTAAAATTACTTTGTAAAATTGGGAAACTTGCCAACCTTCTAAGGGATCACCCTCAAGTCTTACTGGTCTCAGCATGGACTTGGTACCAGAAGGACACTAGAAGCACATTTTGGGTGGGACTTCTCTAGAACATAGACTTGGGAAAATCCAGCTGCAGACTTTGTGAAGAGCAAGTGTTATTGAACCACAGTTCTACACACTTGTTTTGGTTTTTTTTTGTTTTTTTGTTTGTTTGTTTGTTTTTATGGCCGTAGACAGTTCTACACACTTGTTTACATAATATCCAATGCATCTGTTTTAGTTACAGTGGCAGAATCATTGCAATAGGGAGCATACAGCCCACAAAGCCCAAGATGTTTACTGTCTGGCTTTTGCCATAATAGGATTTATCCTAACTCTGCTCTCAGATACAATCTTGGGCTAAATTATTAAAAGCATAGATTGCCTTACAGGTTTCACTACTAACACTTAAATTACGAAGAATATTCCTTACTTGTTCTCTTTTGGGTTTTCTTGTCTCCCATCTTGGGGATGGCTGATATCTCTTGGAAAAGCCACAATGATCTCAACATCTATAAGCACACAACAATAGCAGAAGAATGTTACAATGTAATCATAACAAGGAAAAGTATTTTTTAATTTATTTGACTACCCTCTTCCTAATTATTATGGCATAAATAGTGTTGCTGTTGTTGTTATGTGCTGTTGAGTTTGAACTGACTCATAGCTGCTCAAGTGGGTTTTCAGAGATTATAAATTTTATGGAAGGATACTGCCCGTCTTTCTCCCAAGAAGCAGCTGGTGGATTCAAACTCCTTACATTTGGGTTGGCAGCACAACTCCTTATTCACTAGGTCACCAGAGATCTAGATCGAATAAATATTAACTGGAAACAGAGGTTTGAAATAATTTTTATATTTCTTATCCAACTTTGATAAATGCTGATAGTTATAAAAAGGCTTCAGGTCTTTTGTGCATTGAGTTGCTATGAGTTATGCTCAAATCGAAGGCAACCAACAACAACAACATCTAGCATATATAATAATAAAAAATGTTTAAAAATTAAATAATCTGTATGAATTACTTGAAAATTAAAGATTTAAGATAAGCAGTGCTATCTCCTGACAGAGAAAACAAGCCATCTTTCTGTAAGGAGGTACCCACCTCACCAGATAATTTGAGGATTGTGTTAGATAAGTTTATACAGTCCATAGGAACTTGCTCAGATGTATCAATTTGATAATTTCTTACCTAGTTCTATCAAATTATTTCCAATACAACCCTTCAAACAGAAAGTTATACATTATAAGATTGATATTTGCTTTGTAAACATAAATTTATTGTGAAATATAAATAACACATTAAACAAACTTATGTAAAACGCTATGACCACTCTACAACTGCTGGTCCTTTATAGTTTGTTCTCTGGTTCCATAGAGTGATGTTTGGGAGTAGGTTGTCAGGCCTTTCTTCTTATGGTGTCTTCGCCAGGACGCTTTGCTGAAATCTGTTAGACAGCAAATAATATGGCAGCCTCCACTGAGAGATGGATGGGGGCCGCTCTTCAGCGACATTGACCAGACTCTAATCCAGATCTTGGGCATGGGAGGTGAGAATTCCAGCCCTGAGCCACTGCTTCCCCCTGTGGGCCTAGAGAGAAAGCAGAGCATCCATCGAGATCATGCTGAGTGTATTAATGGTGTTGTGCAAACACAGAGCCTCCTTTTAGGAAGATACCATGCTTGTGCAGCTTTTGTTCCTAACCACATGTTTGACAGAGCCCACGTGTGCTTGACAGCTCACTGACTGACTGTTAGACAAACAGAGCAGAGAGGATGAGGGTGGGGTCAAGGAGCAGACAGATCTGGGTCTAGGTTTCCTCTCTGCTACTTCCTAGTTGCTGTATTTGCTGTGTATAATTGAGTTGGAACTGACTCACAGCTGACCTTCCAGTGGGTTTTTAGAGGAAGTTAATTGCACAGAAGGAGATTGCCCATCTTTCTCCTGCAGAGCAGCAATTCGATTTGAACCACATACCTTTGCATTGGCAGTACGATTCCTTAACACTAAGTCACCAGAGCTGCCTGCCACTTCTCAGGTAGACTTGGAAAAGTTATGAATTGTTGTTGTTGTTGTTATGTGCCATCAAGTCAAGCATGACTCAAAGTGACCCTATAAACAGTGGATCTGACACCCCCGTCCTATCCTTTGCCATCCTTACACTTCCTGACACACAAGAGCCCATTGCTGTAGTCACCGTGTCAATCCACCTGGTCAAAGGTCTTCCTCTCCTTCACCAACCCTCCACCCTTTCAAGCATCACGTCCTTCTCCAAGGAATACTCCCTTCTAGTAACATACCCGAAGTATGTAAGGTGAAACCACATCATCTTCGTCTCTAAAGAGCACTCTGGGTGCACCCTCTGCAAGACATATTTGTTTGTTCTTTTGGTCGTCCATGGGATGTTCAGTACCGTTCTCTCAGCTCAAAGGCAGCAATACTTCCTCGGTCATCCCTATTCATTGTCCAGCTCTAAGATGTATAGCAAGTGATTGGAAAGACCATGGTCTAAATCAGATGCATGTTAGTCCTCAAACTGACATCATCACTCCTCAATAATTTGGAGAGGTCTCTAACTGCAGACTTTCCCAGTGCAAAGTATCTCCTTATTTCCTGTCTGCTGGCTTCGAGGGTGGATCCAAGTAATATGAAAATAGTAGCTTTCACTATTATCTCAATTGTTGTGTACCGTGTAGTTGGAATCATCCCACAGCTGACCCTTCAGTGGATTTTTAGAGGCAGTAAATTGCACAAGAGGAGATTTCCCATCTTTCTCCCGTGGAGGAGCTGGTGGATTTAAACAGCATATTTTTTTTCTATAATTATATTTTATTAATTTTCATAAACATTTACAGAGATTTTGGGTTTCCATTCATTCATTGTTGCACTATTCTCTCTACCCTCCTCCCAGTTTGTTCTTGTCCAAATGCCACAGTGCTTGTCAAAGCCAGTTCTGATTAATCTTCTTTGTCAGTGTGTCCTTTGCCATTCCCTATCACTCCTCCCTGAGAGAGACTTCACCCTGAGTCATAAGGAAAAGGGGATGGCGTATTCTCTTAGCTACTTCCTGCTGAAAAGGGACGTAAACAGCATATTTTTAAGCTGACAATGTAATTCCTTTCCCCTAAACTACCAGCATTTTCAATTACTAGGTTTTTAATTTTAAAAGGACTTTGAGTGTTTTGTAGAGAATATAGAAACCATTATCACGAAAATATTTTTTCTTATTTGCTTTCTATACCTGTGCCATTTCTAAGACTAGTTAGTTGATTTTGATAAAAAATATGATCATTTGCAAAGGAAAAAATTTCTATTTCACCTGGTGAAGAATGATAATATATCCAATTTGGTCATCCAAATATATATTTTGCAATACCATGTAAAGCGTCTTGATGCTTTTCAAATAAGACAACTTGATTATATGCTTTTTGGTATTAGACCACTGTAAGGAAGACTTGTTTGAAAAGAAATGGTAATTTTTAAAAAAAGCTTTTCAAGGATCCTTTCACTATGCTATTTATGTAGTACAAAATGAGAGGTTTAGAATGATAAAATAGAAAGGAACTTAGAGGTCATCTGCTCTATTCCTTCACTTTGGAGATAAAGAAATGATATCCACAATTTTATAGGACAGACTCAAGGTCGTTCTTGTGCTTGAAAGGAAAAGAATGTCTTTTATAACATTTTCATAGTCATCCTTGTGTATAAAAGGCCTTAGCTGACATGTTTGAGTAAGGAAAGCATACAGCATAAATCCTAATAACCAAACTGTCAGGGAAAAGAACGTTGTAGCTCAAAGACTGGTGCACTTAGCATTTCGCTAGATAAATCAGAAAGTTAATGTGATGGTTAATCTTACGCCGCAACGCTCTGCTCACTGTTTGGAAACATGCGGTCTCATAGTATTTATAATGGGAGCTCTGGTTGGCCTAGTTTACAGCACCTCTCTGACAGTTTAAATCCCCCTCTCTGGTAGTTTGAATCCACTATTAGCTCCAAGGAAGAAAAATTAGTGATCTCCTCTCTTTGTGATTTACGGCCTCTGAAAACTTGCTGAAGGGTCAGCTAGGAGCGGTCCTGATTGGACAGCAACGACTTTCACACTTTATTATAGAGTAGTAGCTGACCCTCTAGTGGGTTTTAAATACAGCTGAAATTATCTTCTGCAGGAAAATCCTGTGTTTCTTGGTTGTTTTTTTTCCCCCCGTTCAAATGGATGAGTGTATGTATGTATGAACATAGCTCTGTGTGTGTGTGCACGTGCTCATGCGTGTGCACGTGCACGCACGCTCTCACATATTTCCCAAGCAGGAGAAAGAGGTACAATCTCCTCCCATACAATTTACTGCCACTGAAACCCCACTGGAGGGTCATAACATAGGTTGTAAGAAACACAACATAGGCTGTAAGAAACATACCTGGGCATGTTCCCAGGAGGGACCAGTCCTTGGAAAAAGACATCCTCCAGCTGGGAAACGTGAAGGGTCAGAGAAAGAGCAAGAGTGACGCGGTGACTGTACCAATGGGCTGGAACATGTTAGGGACCACCAGGATGGTGCAGGACAAAGCCAGGTTCAAATCTATTATCCATGGAGTGGCTAGACATCATAGTTGACTCTATGGCTCCCGATAACAGATTGTTGGAATAAAACCAACACCAAAGCCATTGCCTGAATGTGGTTCCAACTTTTAGTGGCCCACCATCAGGTTTCCAAGGCTGTGAGTCTTCAGGGAAAGAGACTGCCCATCTTCATCCCACCAGGTGGCTGGTAGTGGATTCAAACTCACAACCTTTCCGTTATCAGCCCAATACAATACTCATTATGCCACCAGGTCTTCTTAGGTTGGAGGTATATATACACGCTTTCCACATTTTAAGTTTTCTAATTTATGAATCTCATCTTTCAAGGTTGTTGTTGTTGTTGTTGTTATGTGCCATCGAGTCGAGTGTGACTCACAGAGACACTATGTACAATAGTTCTGAACTTTGCCCTGTCCTAAGCCAGGCTCACTGACTCGAACACACCTACCCTCATTACCCAAGTTACTGTGTCAATCCATTTCAACCCAGGTCTTCCTTTCCTGTGTTGTCCCTCCACTCTTCCAAGTATGATGTCCTTCTTCAGAGATTGGTCCCTCTGGTCACATACCCAAAGTATATGAGACAGAGCTTCAAAATCCATGCCTCCAAGATGCAGCTTGGTTTCACCCTACTCAGGACAGACTGGTTTGTTCTCTTGGCTGTTCATGTTATCTTCTCCAGCACAACTCAAAAGTGTCAATTCTTCTGGTGTCAACTCTAGTCATTGTCCAGCTCTCTGATGCATAGCAAGTAACTGCAAACACCATGGCCTGCATTAGGCACACCTTAGTCTCTAGACCAACATCATTCTTCTTTAGCACTTTGGAGAGGTCCCTGACAAAGACTTCCCCAGTGCAATTCATCTTTTGATTTCTTGATTGCTGCCAAGAATGCTGATTGTGAATACGAGCAAGGTGAAATTATTAACAA